CAGGAGAGCAAGAAATAATATCCCATGTGAAGTATATGTTCCAAAAAGAGAATTTGCTAGAAAAGTATGAGAAGAAGCACACATGTTTTAAAAATACCTATCAGGAGCTCGAGATATTCAACTAGATCATCATGGTTCAATTGGTATAGAGACACGGGATAGATCAGAGTTGGAAGGGGAAATGAAAACTTAGAGATATTATTGTCCTATAGATAGGGATATGTGATGTTAGGTTGGAAACATTCTATAGATAGGGATAATGTAGAAAACGTAGGAAGAATAACAACATCATTTGAAGTAAGAGAAACACAAGAGGAAGATAAATTAACTATTAGAAAATGTCACATTCCAAGAAATAATAGTAGAATTTGGATGATCCAATTTTCTATGTCAAACCTCATAAAGATTCAGAACATTATTAAAAGAAAAAGACAGATGGTTAAAAATAAATTGGAGCAAAAAAAATCATACCACTTTAGGCCCCTTCACGAATCACCTTCCCCATTATTTGCTCTTACACAAGACAAACAAACCGAGAAAATTTAACATCACAATTATTGTCCACTACTTGAAAACAATAAATTGGAAGCAATTCTAGGTGAGACAATTGCATTCCAAAAACTAGGGTTTAGGTCACCAATATTAGTGATAGAAAAAGTATTACTATAAGCAATTAATGACAATTAAGCAAACACAATAATTATCTTTCTTTGAGGTAGTCATGGTGACCATTAATAGAAAGGATAACAATGTTGTTAGAGCGTAAAGCAAGATGCCTAAAATCACGAACATAACTGCAACAAAGAATGAGGCTCGAAACCACAAACATAACGATAAACAAGAATCACAAACTAGGATCATGAACCAGACTCGCAAACAAAAACAATGGACGAGACCATGAAACCACGAAATGAGAAACAAAAACTATAAAACTCGGAAAGCATCAAGTAAGAAAGAGAAAAAGTGGATCGTGCTTAGACAAATATCATATTATAAAAAGAATTTATTTATTCACTATAGTTATCCTCGCTATAAATAATGCTAATAATATTTACAATAATTATTACTTATAATTATAAAATATCCTATAATCTGAAATTAGGAAGAAGAAATCAATCTATTGTCTAGTTTAATTTTAGAAAATCATATCAAACTATTTAAATATACACATTAATTTTGGATTGACACAAATGAATTTATAAATTATCTAACTAAATCATATCAAAATATCAAAATATCTAAAGATAAAAATTAATTCTTATTACTACTATTCTTTCTTTTTTCTTCTCCAATTATTACACTATTTCTTTTATTTATGTATATAACAGTTTATTATTAATGTTCAGAATTCACTTGTCGGAAACTAAATTTAAAAGGGTGTTGTTTTCCATAAATGATTTTTTTCCAAAAATTCTTTCCTCTTGAAAGAAAAAATTCAGTTTGGATTTCAGTTTTCGGATTAGTTTTATAATCAGTTTTCTTTCTACACAATCCAAAATTCAGCTTTTCAAGAATTGAATTCTTGACTGTTTATTACACCTGTATAAATTTCTCCCTACACTGCATATAAAGAAATTTTCATTTTTACCCTTTTCGAAATTCAAAAGTCATTTTCGAAAATAAAATATAAATCTCAAATTATGTAAATTAAAAGTTAAAAAAGACTTCTAGATTCCATAATCTGGGAACTAATTTTTTCCTTAAGAAAAACCTTCTAGATGATAAATCTATAATATAATCCAAAAATAACATTCGGATTTTATAATCTCAAAGTTAAATATTTTTTTAATATTTTATTAAATTTTTATTTTTATTTTTTATCGCACAATCTAAAATTTATTTTTATTTTTTATTTTTAGATTATATAATTAAGAAACATAAAAATGGAATCTTTTTATATGGGTGAAGAGGGAATTTATTCAAGATCCTGCCTGAATTCACGTATATACACTAAAGTATGTATCTATGTAATTAAAAACAAAAGGCACATTACATTATGGAAGGAAAACAATTTTTTAAAACTTGCTACAGTGGTGAACTGGACTGATCTTCACCTACTCTTACGATACAAACAGGAAGAAAGATTTTATAGTTTATGTTTCATTATATAACTCAGTAGAGTCGAAAAACACATCTTTCCCTTGTCATCTTCCTTATTTTCTAAGTTTTGAACCACGTGTTTCAAGTTTTTTAAGTCCAAGTCGAGCAGTGAATATTGCTAAAGACACTTCGACGTTCAAGTCAGATTTTAATCAATGAATTTAATTCATAATTAAATATCAAAATTCAATTAAGTTAATTTTATCTCTGTAGTTTTCTCTTATATTTATAGTTACCTAGTGGACAATAAATTGATATTGGCCACATAACTTAAATAGTTTTGTGGATTTTAAATTGACATTGTCCCATTATTAGTAATATTCGTATTGACCCAATTATGGTCCAACACTCACAAGACCCATTCAACTTGCTTGATTACCATATTAAGGAACAGATCTAACGATCATTAATAAAACTGACATATCATGGTTGTTATCGATACTACCTTATTACCTCGATCGAAATGGATCCTATACCATACATTTTAGAAGGTATGTTCTTCAACAACAAAAGACTATATGGGAAGCTTTCGAAATTGGTATGAGAAAACACCAGAAATTTTCTGAAACGAGCTTTGGATATGTTCTCATAGAAAAAGTTTGTTGAACGCTCACTATAGTCCCTAGAAAAAATGAAAATTTTGACAGAAAATATAAGGGTTAAATATGTTTTTCGTCCCTTAAGTATCACACAATTTTGATTTTAGTCCCTACTCAAAACTTTGATGGTTTTTAGTCCTTATAGTTTTGAAACTCTGACTATTAGTCCTTCAAATTGGACAATGTTAAGTTTTAGTAGATGTGGCAAACGACAATGACACGTGAAATACCAGCTGCCCTCTTCACTCTCTGCCACGTTGGATGTTTAACTTTTGAAATGAGATTAAGTATGTTAAGTGTGCATTTCATTCAAGAGCACTTCGTCATCTGTTATAAATAAGAGTTGAAGAAGTTGGGTTCTTCTTCGTCACTGCAGTTGGGGGCAAAGAACGCTAAGGAGGTACATCTGAAGGTTGGAGTTCGTGTTCTTGAGGAGGTAAGTTAATACGTTTTGTTTTGCTCTTCTTCGTGTGAATATAAGGATTGAGGATATAGGGTTTGGGTGGGCAGGAAAGTTGATGAAGGGATTTCTTTATTGTAGTGAAATGAAAGGTGAGAGTGGAGGAAATGGTTGGACGCGAAGGTCAATTGGTTCAGGAAAGTCGCAAAGTTGTGGATCATCTTCACGGTTACCTTCTAAATTGTGTGGTTGTGGTGAAACATTGTTGCTTTTGAAGGCAACTACTGTGAAGAACAAAGGAAGATTGTTTTATAAATGTAGAAATTGGGCAGTAAGTGATTAAATCTTTCATTTCATGTGCTGAATTTTGAATTAATCTTGTGTTGTTTTGATTGCAGAGTAATTCAAGTTGTAATTACTTTAAATGGCATGATGAAGGAATTTCTGAAATTGAAGGAAGCTTTGAAAGAAAACGTGAAGAACTTGAAATGTGTTTGGAAAATGAAAAACTTGTACTGGATCTAAGGAAGAAGAACGACAAGTTGAAAAGGAAATTAGAACAAGAGAAGAAAGTTGGGAAAATGATGTTGTTGTTATTTGTCTTGTCATGGGCGTTAACAATTTTCTTTTGTATTATGTTTTTGTTGAAGATGAATTGTAAATAAGAATTATGGTTGAATAAAATGAGGTAGTTGAGTTTGTCTCGAAATTCTTCTTGACTAAATTCTCCAAATAACTTATTTGTTTTCCCTTTAACATTCTACTATTATTGTTCTTTTGTTGTATGTTAATAAAGAAAACAGTTGGAAGCATAAGAAAGTAGAAGCAGGCATTATTCCTTGCAGAATCAAAGATAGTTGTATAAGTAAATGAAAAAACTAGAAGCAGGCATTATTCCATGCTTACAGAAGACATTAAGTCATCACTAAACATTTTTAAACAAGCAATGGCAGATAAACAGCTGGTCATCAGTAATCATAAACAGTTGGTCATGGTTCACCCACTTCCATCTCCCGGATCTGCCCCCACTCAGAAATGCAAAAATTGAGTTAACTTGGAATTTCCTTTTAAAGTTGACTAAGTAGAGTATCTGTATATGTGAACTTGGAATAAATAAAGTTAACTTGGCATAATGCAAAGATGGAATACAACAAGAAGCAGGATATAATATGAAGTGGTTCCATACTGTTAAATAAGATAAGTTAAGTGGTCCCTTTCCACTACAAAAAATATTGTAATAACAGTACTAAAGTAAGTTAAGTGGTCCCTTACAATTACATAGGATGGTAGATGTTAAAAGCAACCACTGTACCCACTACTATTGTTCCCTAAGTGGGTGACTGTGACTTACAAAATACATTAAAATAAACGATTGGCTACAATAAATCTTCAATTGGTACTAGCTTGGGACCCTAGATGTTGTGCAGCCAGTAGTCGTGAGGATGTTCTTCTTCCACCTTGGTTACTTGATGCAGGTCCTGCTCCACTGCCACTTCTTCTTCCCCGTGTTGATGTTCCTCCTCCTTGGTCACTTGATGCAGGTCCTGCTCCACTGCCACTTCTTCTTCCCCTTGTTGTTCCTCCTCCTTGTGACGTTGATGGAGCTGGTTGTGCTTGAGAACCTCCTGCAGTGGAAGTCGCCCTTGTGCTGCCAGATCCTCCTACACTTGAAGTGACCCTTGTGTTCTGTAAATGGAAGTAAGCAACATTGCAACTATCATAGTGTAAATAATTTTGAATGTGTAAATAAGTGAAGTTGTAAAAGAGTGATTTTGTACCTTTTTTTTTCCTTTTACATGTTCTTACATTATGACCAAATTCATTGCAGCTGCTACACTTCATAACAAGATTCTTCTTTGACAATTTTGTATGAGTCACATATTCATTAGCCTCCCTTCTTCTTAGTTTTTTAGGCCTCTCAGGGGTGTTTTATAAATTGGAGGCAGTAGTGCACCAGATTCAAAAGTAGACCACAATTGTTGTCCATTGATTGGAACAATTTCAAGGCCATAACAAGTCTCATAAGCCTCTTTCTTGTAATAAGGATGTACATAGTCTTTAGGGTTTTCTAGTTTGTAATTTATGGCAGCCACAGCGTGCCTGCAAGGTATTCCTACCAAATCCCAAAAGTAACAACTACATGAATGGTTACTTAGGTCAACTACAAACTTATCCATTGTAAACCCGTGAGTGACTTCAAATTTTGCAGCCCCTGCCCAAGTTGGAATCCAATTTCCACTCTTCTCAACTTCCCTATCAAGCCTATTTCGTGGTTTAGGCATCACAACTCCTGTATATGTCTTTGCTTTTTCTCTAAGTGTTGCAAACCTACTCATAATGTAAGTTCTAATCCATTCCATCATAGTTATGATAGGTTTGTCTCTAGCTAGTAAAATTGTACTATTAAATGACTCAGACAAATTATTTAACAAGACATCGCATCTAGGATAACTACTAAATGCATGTTTACACCAACGATTAGTTGGAATAGATAGCAACCAATTGTAAGCATCAATGTTAACATTGGACAACTCACCCATTTTCTTTTCCCAATCCTGTTTGAATGTGGCCTTTGCAGCCCCCATCATAAGATCTCTAATAAGCACTCCTCCACCAAACTTCTTCTTGTAATTGTTATACAAGTGCCTTAAGCACAATCTATGTTCCACTCCTTCCAAGATCTCATCAAAAACTGTCATTAGTCCCTGCAAATCATAAAAGTTTGTCATTAGTCCCTGCAATTCAGAAAAGGTCTTGCTCAATAGTAAGTATTCCAATTGCTACTGTATAAAAATAGGGAAATATTAAAATGAAGATACCTTTTGTTGATCAGAGATGAAAACCCAACGTTGACAATCAATTCCTCCAATATCTTCCAGTAGTAGTGTCAAAAACCATCTCCAACTCTCTTTGCATTCATTTTCAACCACAGCAAAAGCTAGTGGGAAGTATTGGTCATTCGGGTCTCTGCCCACTGCCACCAACAGCTGACCCCCATATGTTGTCTTCAAATGACAACCATCTACCCCTATGAAGGGCCTGCAACTTCCTAAGAAGCCTTGCTTACAACCCTCTAAACACATATAGAATGAGCCAAATCTTGGAGGCAAACTTGGTTGGGGTTGATTGACTTTAATTTTAAATGTTCCAGCCTTCACTCTTAGCAATTCACCCACATAATCATATACACGACCGTATTGTCGCTCTCCATCACCAACCAAAGAATCCAAGGCAATTTGCTTTGCCTTTCCAGCTTTCCAAGCAGTGATTCCAACACTGAATGACTTCTTAATGTCATCAATTATTTGGTTGACAGTCATGTTAGCCACATTTACAAACCTATCTACTAATACTTGTGCAATCCAGTTCACATTTGCACTTTTGTTTCCAAAGGTCCTTCCACAACTGTGTCGTCCAACCAAGGTTTTCACCCTAAATGTTTGCTTCCCTCCTACCTTGCTAGCCATAATCAGAAAACCACATTTGTTTTTACAAACTGCCCTTACTCTGTTCAGGTCATTCTTCACAAACTTAACCTCTTTTCCATTTAATACACTATGCTCCAATAGTGCATTTTTGAATTCCTTTAAAGAACAGAACTCCATCCCCAATTCAAATCTGAAGTTCTTGTTCATATCATCTTTTCTAAACTTTTTAAATTTCCCCTTTGATAACCTCACATCCTCATCACTATCTACATTTGAATCCAATTCATCACTGTTGTATTCTTCATTGATCTCATGATCTCCAACTTCTTCATTCAGTAAAAATGAACCTTCCCCAACATTGCCTCTTCTACGCACACATTTCTTCTTCTTTTTCATTCTATTCCACCTATCCAAAACTGGATTAATGTTTCTCCGAAATTGGTCCACCCTATCATTCTGAACATCAAACCCATCATCTTCATTAGCCATTCTGTCTTCTTCACTGTCATCCATACATTCTTCAGCTGAAGCTTCTACTTCCCCCTCGACAACATTCCCCCCTTCCTCTTCTTCCCCAAGATAATCATATTCATCACCACCAACAAACTCTTGTTCTTCCTGACCCATTTGAACATCTTCATGTTCATCATGACCATCACACTCTTCTTCTTCCTCACCCATTTCAACCTCTTCATGCTCATCATCACCATCACACTCTTCTTCCTCACTCATTTGAACCTCTTGTTGTTCATGACCACCACCAAACTCTTCTTCTTCCTCACCCATTTGAACCTCTTGTTGTTCCTCACCACCATCACACTCTTCCTCCTCACCCTTTTCAACCTCTTCCTGTTCATGACCACCATCACAGTCTTCCTCACCCTNAGTTTGTCTCGAAATTCTTCTTGACTAAATTCTCCAAATAACTTATTTGTTTTCCCTTTAACATTCTACTATTATTGTTCTTTTGTTGTATGTTAATAAAGAAAACAGTTGGCAGCATAAGAAAGTAGAAGCAGGCATTATTCCTTGCAGAATCAAAGATAGTTGTATAAGTAAATGAAAAAACTAGAAGCAGGCATTATTCCATGCTTACAGAAGACATTAAGTCATCACTAAACATTTTTAAACAAGCAATGGCAGATAAACAGCTGGTCATCAGTAATCATAAACAGTTGGTCATGGTTCACCCACTTCCATCTCCCGGATCTGCCCCCACTCAGAAATGCAAAAATTGAGTTAACTTGGAATTTCCTTTTAAAGTTGACTAAGTAGAGTATCTGTATATGTGAACTTGGAATAAATAAAGTTAACTTGGCATAATGCAAAGATGGAATACAACAAGAAGCAGGATATAATATGAAGTGGTTCCATACTGTTAAATAAGATAAGTTAAGTGGTCCCTTTCCACTACAAAAAATATTGTAATAACAGTACTAAAGTAAGTTAAGTGGTCCCTTACAATTACATAGGATGGTAGATGTTAAAAGCAACCACTGTACCCACTACTATTGTTCCCTAAGTGGGTGACTGTGACTTACAAAATACATTAAAATAAACGCTTGGCTACAATAAATCTTCAATTGGTACTAGCTTGGGACCCTAGATGTTGTGCAGCCAGTAGTCGTGAGGATGTTCTTCTTCCACCTTGGTTACTTGATGCAGGTCCTGCTCCACTGCCACTTCTTCTTCCCCGTGTTGATGTTCCTCCTCCTTGGTCACTTGATGCAGGTCCTGCTCCACTGCCACTTCTTCTTCCCCTTGTTGTTCCTCCTCCTTGTGACGTTGATGGAGCTGGTTGTGCTTGAGAACCTCCTGCAGTGGAAGTCGCCCTTGTGCTGCCAGATCCTCCTACACTTGAAGTGACCCTTGTGTTCTGTAAATGGAAGTAAGCAACATTGCAACTATCATAGTGTAAATAATTTTGAATGTGTAAATAAGTGAAGTTGTAAAAGAGTGATTTTGTACCTTTTTTTTTCCTTTTACATGTTCTTACATTATGACCAAATTCATTGCAGCTGCTACACTTCATAACAAGATTCTTCTTTGACAATTTTGTATGAGTCACATATTCATTAGCCTCCCTTCTTCTTAGTTTTTTAGGCCTCTCAGGGGTGTTTTATAAATTGGAGGCAGTAGTGCACCAGATTCAAAAGTAGACCACAATTGTTGTCCATTGATTGGAACAATTTCAAGGCCATAACAAGTCTCATAAGCCTCTTTCTTGTAATAAGGATGTACATAGTCTTTAGGGTTTTCTAGTTTGTAATTTATGGCAGCCACAGCGTGCCTGCAAGGTATTCCTACCAAATCCCAAAAGTAACAACTACATGAATGGTTACTTAGGTCAACTACAAACTTATCCATTGTAAACCCGTGAGTGACTTCAAATTTTGCAGCCCCTGCCCAAGTTGGAATCCAATTTCCACTCTTCTCAACTTCCCTATCAAGCCTATTTCGTGGTTTAGGCATCACAACTCCTGTATATGTCTTTGCTTTTTCTCTAAGTGTTGCAAACCTACTCATAATGTAAGTTCTAATCCATTCCATCATAGTTATGATAGGTTTGTCTCTAGCTAGTAAAATTGTACTATTAAATGACTCAGACAAATTATTTAACAAGACATCGCATCTAGGATAACTACTAAATGCATGTTTACGCCAACACTTAGTTGGAATAGCTAGCAACCAATTGTAAGCATCAATGTTAACATTGGACAACTCACCCATTTTCTTTTCCCAATTCTGTTTAAATATGTCCTTCGCAGCCCCCATCATAAGATCTCTAATAAGCAATCCTCCACCAAACTTCTTCTTGTAATTGTTATACAAGTGCCTTAAGCACAATCTATGTCCACTCCTTCCAAGATCTCATCAAAAACTGTCGTTAGTCCCTGCAAATCACAAAAGGTCTTGGTCAATAGTAAATACTGTCATTGTTACGAAATAAAGATAGGAAAACATTAAAATGAAAATACCTTTTGTTGATCATAAATGAAAACCCAATGTTAACAATCAATGCCTCCAATATCATCCAGAAGTAGTGTCAAAAACCATCTTCAACTTTCTTTGCATTCATTTTCAACCACAGCAAAAGCTAGTGCGAAATATTGGTCATTCGGGTCTGTGCCCACTGCCACCAACAACTGACCACCATATGTTGTCTTTAGATGACAACCATCTACCCCTATGAAGGGCCTGCAACTTCCTAAGAAGCCTTGCTTACAACCCTCTAAACACATATAAAATGACCCAAATCTTGGAGGCAAACTTGGTTGGGGTTGATTGACTTTAATTTTAAAGGTTCCAGACTTCACTCTTAGCAATTCACCCACATAATCATATAGACAACCGTATTGTCGTTCTCCATCACCAACCAAAGAATCCAAAGCAATTTGCTTGACCTTTCTAGCTTTCCAAGCAGTTATTCCAACACTGAATGACTTCTTAATGTCATCAATTATTTGGTTGACTGTCATGTTAGCCACATTTACAAACCTATCTACTAATACTTGTGCAATCCAGTTTACATTTGCACTTTTGTTTCCAAAAACCCTTCCACAATTGTGTCGTCCAACCAAGGTTTTGACCCTAAATGTTTGCTTGCCTCCTACCTTGCTAGCCATAATCAGAAAACCACATTTGTTTTTACAAACTGCCCTTACTCTGTTCAGGTCATTCTTCACAAACTTAACCTCTTTTCCATTTAATACAATATGCTCCAATAGTGCATTTTTAAATTCCTTTAATGAACAGAACTCCATCCCCAATTCAAATCTGAAGTTCTTGTTCATATCATCTTTTCTATACTTTTTAAAGTTCCCCTTTTTCAACCTCACATCCTCATCACTATCTACATTTGAATCCAATTCATCACTATTGTATTCTTCATTCATGTCATGATCTCCAACTTCTTCATTCATTATAAATGAACCTTCCCCAACATTGCCTCTTATAGTCACACATTTCTTCTTCTTTTTCATTCTATTCCACCTATCCAAAACTGGATTAATTTTTCTCCGAACTTGGTCCACCCTATTATTCTGAACACCAAACCCATCATCTTCATTAGCCATTCTGTCTTTTTAACTGTCATCCATACATTCTTCAGCTGAAGCTTCTACTTCCCCCTCAACAACATTCCCCCCTTCCTCTTCTTCACGAAGATAATCATGTTCATCACCACCAACAAACTCTTCTTCTTCCTCACCCATTTGAACCTCTTCATGTTCATCACCACCATCACACTCTTCTTCTTCCTCACCCATTACAACCTCTTCTTGTTCGTCACCACCATCACACTCTTCTTCTTCCTCACCCATTTCAACCTCTTCCTGTTCATGACCACCATCAAACTCTTCTTCTTCCTCACCCATTACAACCTTTTCCTGTTCGTCAACACCATCACACTCTTCTTCTTCCTCACCCATTTCAACCTCTTGTTGTTCATGACCACCATCAAACTCTTCTTCTTGCTCACCCATTTCAACCTCTTCATGTTCCTCACCACCATCACACTCTTCCTCACCCTCTTCTACAACAACATCACCCTCTTCCAAATCCATTCCACCCTCTTGTACAATCTCAGCCACTTCTTCCTCATGTAAATTAACCTCTTCGTCACCCACTTTGGAAACCACTTCCTCCGTGTCTATGTTTCCTTTTTCTGCCACTTCACCACAACTAAGAAAGTGAACTTCCACTACCTCACTAGGAACATGTTGAACATAGATTTCTACCTCTTTCCTTATTCTCCTCTGCATAGTTAGCCAAGTACAGTGCTTCAGTGTCATCACTCAATAATCTCACATTATTCATCAGCCTTTGTTTGGACCCCTTCCACCATAGTTTGAAGTCTGCATCATACTTAAATTCTTTAACAATTCCAACTGCTTCAAAATACGACCAACGATCCGGATCAAGTCCTTTAATCACGTGTATCTCTCCTCCAACATACTGTAGCCCCTTATTACTAACAAACCTCCCCATGTGATGCAAACAAATGTCGAAAACCATTTCTAGACCTACATTCAGACATCAACGCTTTACGCACAAATTGGAACAACCATAACCGAAAGAGAAAAACAATAGCTTAGCTTACCTTTACGCTTGTCTTTCACACCCACCGTTTCTTTCACGAGCACTGGAACGACCACCGCAAGGACCACCTGGATAGAATGCTTAGAGTAAAACTACTTTTTCCCAATTGAAAAAATTTACTTTGCCCAATTAAAAACCCTAATTGTTAATCTGATTTCAATCAAGAACGTACCAATCACTTAATCTCATTTCAAAAGTTAAACATCCAACGTGGCAGAGAGTGAAGAGGGCAGCTAGTATTTCACGTGGCATCGCCGTTTGCCACATCTACTAAAACTTAACACCGTCCAATTTAAAGGACTAATAGTCAGAGTTTCAAAACTATAAGGACTAAAAACCATCAAAGTTTTGAGTAGGGACTAAAAACAAAATCGTGTGATACTTAAGGGACGAAAAACATATTTAAACCAAAATATAATTCTTGTTGAATATAATAAAAAAAAAGATAGCGCGTGTAAGAAGCATACGGAATTAAAAAAAGTAAAAAAATGGGAATAAGAATAGCGACTGATGCCCATGATAAGGCCAACGAAGGACATAATAAGTACCAAGGCCATGAAATCGTAGCAAGTTGCTAAAGG